TATGTTAATTTTTGGGCCTAAACAACCAGGAAATGACATAGACGTATATTTGGAACCTTTAATCAAAGATTTGAAGATTTTGTGGGAGAACGGTGTGGAGGTTTATGATGGGTATAGGAAAGAAAGTTTTAACTTGAGGGCGATGTTGTTTGGAACAATTAACGATTTTCCAGCCTACGTAAATCTATCCGGGTATAGCATTAAAGGTGAAAAGGCGTGTCCTATCTGTGAAGATGGAATCGATACGATGCGATTGAAACTTTGTCAGAAGAATGTCTTTCTCGGTCATCGTAGATTCTTAAATTCTAAACATCAATATCGTGGATGGAGAAAAGCGTTCAACGGAGATACCGAACAACGTAGAGCTCCGCCTGGATTGACAGGTGATCAATTATTTGAAAAGGTGAAAGATGTGAGTATTCAGTTTGGCAAGCCTTTTGCACATAAAGTTGTTACAAGTGGGTGGAAGAAGAGGTCGATTTTTTTTGAATTGCCATATTGGAAATCTTTGTATGTAAGACATTTTCTTGATGTTATGCATATTGAAAAAAATGTATTTGACAGTGTTATTGGTATGTTACTCAATATAAAAGGGAAGTCTAAGGATGGTCTTAAAGCAAGGGAGGACATGGTAGAGATGGGAATAAGAACTGAATTGGGACCCGTGAAAAAAGGAACACGAACATATCTACCACCTGCTGTTTACACTCTATCCAGAAAGGAGAAAAAATATTGTGTAAGTTCCTAAGTGAGGTTAAAGTTCCAGAAGGCTACTCATCAGATATTAGAAGACTTGTGTCTATGCAAGACCTCAAGTTAAAGAGTTTAAAGACGCATGATTTCCATGTTATAATGGAACATTTTCTACCGATAGGTATACGTTCTATTCTTCCAGAAAAAGTAAGAAGCGCAATAACTAAACTGTGTTTTTTCTTCAAGTCAATTTGCAGCAAGGTGATCGATCCTGAGATCTTACCAACATTGCAAAAAGAAATAGTTGTTACTTTGTGTGATCTTGAAATGTATTTCCCTCCCTCGTTTTTTGACATAATTGTTCATCTTGTCGTTCATCTTGTCAAAGAGACACAACTGTGCGGACCAGCTTATATGAGATGGATGTACCCTACTGAACGTTATATGAAAATATTAAAAGGGTATGTGAAAAACCGAAGTAGACCAGAGGGTTGTATTGCTGAACAATATATTGTTGAAGAAGCGGTTGAGTTTTGTACTGAATATCTGTCGAATGTTCAATCAATTGGACTCCCCAAATCTCATGTTGTTGAAAAAAAAGAAGGTAAGAAGCTAATTGGAAATAAAGTTGTGACAGTATCAATGGTCGAACGGGATCAATATATATTCCCGAGGTAATTTTCAATATATATCCGTTATTATTATAGAATATTTTTAGTCACTTCTAACGGTTATTATTGGTTTAGGGCATTTCATCTTGCCAGTTATACCTATCGTCGCCGACTTATCGACTAGTTGGCAAGGGAAAAGTCCATAACACTTCAGGAGATTTACTTCATAATAGACCGCTTCCGGATGGACACATGAAAGTATCGGTTGACATTGCTTTAGATATGGATGCGTTGCTGCCAGTACCTGACATTGTTGCTGAGACCACATTGCTGCGAGATGCAATAGGATCTTTTGTTGCATGGCCATCAGACCTCATTTTCATAGATGATCAGGTATGTTGAAAACAATTATGAATCTTTAAGTCTTCAACTGTCAGTTCTGACCTCAGTTATTTCCACGGTAATTATAGACTCCTACAACACCCGCATCTAAGGGTAAAGGGATTTTGCGGCACGACGAGTCTGACGTATCACCAAAAGAGGTACGTTTAAAGTGTTAATTATATGATCCGAATAAAAAACTGCATAATTTTATAATTTAACTGAGTTTATATGATTTTTAGGTACCTTTTCATGGGTCACAACAAGTGAGCCAAAAAATCGTTGGCGTACCACCCAAGAAAAGGGTGCCTACTAGATTTTTCCCTCGATACCGGCAGTGTCTTGAAACAATAGTGGGAACAACAGATTTGATGGATGGTGGTATTCGTCAAATGGATATGGATCAAGGTATCTTTGGTTTTCCTTGCACCGATATAATTGGACATGAGGACGTGGAACAGATTTTCCGTCATAAAGAATTGGGCGTCAGTATTATGCACGCATACATCCGGTAACCCCATCTTTATATTATGTAATTAGCTGAAATCTTTTTTAAACATTTCAATGAATATACTCTAATATTAATTATGTTTTTATTTAAGGCTGTTATATGACAAATTGATGCGCGGGAATCAATTGTCAAACAGATTCCATTTCGTGTCTTCCTCCCGTGTCAGCGGAGCGATAATTGGTAGGGAACCGGAATCAGTAAGAGAGCACTTAGTAGAAAGATTCATGGCAACTGGCAGTATAAAAAGCTTATATCTTTGGGCGTATAATACTATTCCTACAGGGTTAGATTTTCATTCTAAGTTCATTTTAATATTTGTAATTTTTGCGTAGAAAAATTTCTTCTAAACTATTGTTTTAATTTATAGACGTCACTGGTTGTTGGTTGCTATCGATCCTATAAAAGAAGTGGTCTATTATCTGAATTCGGTTGACGGTGATTGGACAAATTATCCGGATATGAAGTTAATGATTGATACATAAGCGAGATTATTCTAAATATTTGTGTGTATTTATGTATTTAATTATTTCTGTGACATTGTTCTAAATATATGTTTTTATTTTGTTAGAGCGATACAAGTATTCCGGTGTCAAAGAGAAGCTCGGGTACGACGGTCTAAATCAAACAACATTAATTGGATCAAAGTGCAGGTATATTAATTTCCACTATTTTGCTTATAATATTTACGCTATTTGATAAAACAATACAACTATATATTCTTATTTGTTTTTCTATGTAGTGTCCTCAACAGCAAAACAGTATAGATTGCAGATACTTCGTTATGCGGTTTATCAAAGAAATCATTCAACTGAATCAAATAGAGATTCCAGTCACGGTATGGATTTATAACTTAGGATTTGTTTTATTATTTCTCGGATATTTCATATAATTTTTTACTTTTAACTAAATCATGCATATTATGTTTTGTTATGTAGTACTTCGATGAGTACAAATGTGCATATTACACGAAACTTCAGTTGGAAGAAACCAAAGAGGAGTTGTGTCAATATTTTATTGAGCAGAGAATCATATAAGGACTGGTTTAGTTGTTGTTAGGGTTGATTTTGTAAGACTGATTTTGAGTTACAATGCTCATAACAATGGTTTATATATAATTTGAGGTACAAAAATGGTGTATATATATTTTAGATTACAATGCATTACCGCTGTTTATGAATTACAGGTTATGGCAACTGGTTTATATAAATAATATGCTGCAAACAATGCAGGTATATGAATTACATAAATTATACCTCTAAAAAAAAACACCCTATGAAAGCGCTTTTTGGAGATAAACGCTTTCATAGGTAGACCTATGACAGCGCTTTTTCACATAAAGCGCTGTCTAAGGTAAACATATGACAGCGCTTTTCCAAGAAAAAGCAATGCTAAAAGACAACCTATGAAAGCTCTTTTCCAGAAAAAAGCGCCACCAATGAAAGCTCTTTTCCAGAAAAAAGCGCCACCAATGAAAGCTCTTTTCCAGAAAAAAGCGCCACCAATGAAAGCGCTTCTTCATAAAAAAGCGCTGCCAAAAGCCTACTTAAGAGAGTGCTTTATAGAAAAAGCGCTGCCAAAAGCCTACTTAAGAGAGCGCTTTTTAGAAAAAGCGCTGCCAAAAGCCTACTTAAGAGAGCGTTTTATAAAAAAAGCGCTGCCAAAAGCCTACTTAAGAGAGCGCTTTTTAGAAAAAGCGCTGCCATAAGGATACTTAAGAGAGCGCTTTTTAGAAAAAGCGTTGTCATAAGTAGACCTACGAAAGCGCTTTTCATTAAACAAAAAGCGCTGCTAAAACCTATAGCAGCGCCACCTTAGAAAGCGCTTTTAAAGGCCAAAAAAAGCGCTTTCGTAAGTCTTTTTTGGCGTAGTGTGCGGGTATTTGTTAGATGAGTATCCGTGAATTTTAAAATAGTCGCATGTATATACGGGTATCCATGAATACTTTTTACTTTAAAAAAATATATAATTAATTAAATTTTTTATCCTTTTTAAAGACAATAAAATAGTTTCAAATTTAACACATAATAATAATAATGATAATAATAATAATAATAATAATAATAATAATAATAATAATAATAATAATAATAATAATAATAATAATAATAATAATAATAATAACAAACATAAATCACATTCATTTTATTTCTTTTTACAAATAATTATATTATACTCAATGATATAATAATAGTTTCATATTCAACAAAATAATAATAATTTTAGATTAAATAAATTAATATTTAAGTAATTTGGTTAATTATTAACAGATATAGATATCCGTAAGTACGAGTACCATCAAATTCATATCTGTATTCGTAAGTAAACGAGTAATTAAATATTCATTTATTTTATTCACGGATATCTATTAAAACATCCTACCCGTAACAGATTTTATCCGTGGATACATATTTATTTGTAATCTCTACACTATACTTATTTAGTTAAATCATTAAAATAATTTTGATACTAATTTACTTTTTATATTAAAAGTAGATTTACCGATGTAAATAAAAAAATGATTTGCTTAACTTAGAATTGAATTCTTTCCGAGACACCTTGTTAGGTGTGAGTAATAGCGAGGAAACGAAATTTAAATAGCAAGTATTCTAAATAGTAAGGGATAAATAAGAACAATTATAAATTCATCCAAGTTGCATCCTTGTTTTATATATGGGTTATATTATTATTTTATCTCCCAATTATATAACCGAAGTAAAATGATGATAACCCTTTATTCTAATATTTATTTATGATATCATTAGGCAGTAGTACAAGTTGTGTTCACAAAGAGTGATTCATTGGCATTAGCAATTAACAAAGACATAGGTAACCGTAAGGTGACCCTGGTGGTAACCCTGTCCATTAGTATCCAGTCTATTGAACACATTCACATCCAAATCCAACCCACCATTGTCGCACTGATCCACTATTCTCACCGTTGTCTGAGCTCCAGTTGCACTGTTTCTCACCTACACCATCACAGTCAACTTTAACAAGTAACCAACAATTATGTTTGAGAATTTAATCTTGAACTTAATTAAAAACTAATTAAAAAAGTCATACATACCCTCAAGCATTTGCCGCAAGAATTTCTGCCATGAGGGCCGGCGGGTCCACAAAAGGCTGTCCAACCGTATCTTTGACGCCATGACAAGGGCTGGTTAGCATCCCATGTAGCACAGTAAACACCGGCAGTGTTGTAGCTCCACCCAATATTCTGAGGGTTGTAGTTATTGTATGTTGCTCTTACGTTGTTCGCACTCTGGCCACTCACTAATATTGTTGTTCCCGTGATCATGAAACACAGCACCAACACGCTTAAACTTCTCTGTGTACTCTCCATTTTCTCTATGGTTAAACTTGTGTGTTTCTTAGTAGAGGCTGGTGTACGAATTTATAGATTTGAAGATAGATGAACTATGCACAACACTGTTCTACATACGTAATCTCAAGTTCGACAATTAATGCATTTGAACCGTTTGATCATGCTTTAATTTTTTTATTTTTATATATCATGCTTGTTTGTATTTTGTTTTGATTTTTAGTTATTGATTTAATCTGTCTTTTTTATTACTATTTGTCTTGACTTTTGATCTCCTCATATCAACATGCCTAGATAAATATTCTGAGGATTTTCATGCTTATATAAGTGTTAATATTTAAAAATATATTATAAGTCACTCGAAATTGGAAAGTTAGGTGATTAATTAGTAGAATTTAATTGAAATATATTGATAGTGTAAAGAAGTTTTCCATCGTCATCGTCATTGAATCATAACTGTTAGATTATAAATTATATTTTATTTTTATTTTAATTATTTATTAAATAGAATTAATGGGTGGTTGTGATTACATTAACAGTGCATAATAATTAATCACTTAATTAGTATGTGAATTTTCCTTAATTAGCGGTAAGTTATACGAGTGTAAAAACAATCAAACACGAGTGAATCAATTTTTTTCAAGTCTATTAAAGTACACCATGGTCGTGAAGACCTTAGATTCATTAAAAGTACAATAGAGCTAGACAAATGGCCATTATGGCCATGTTTCATGCTAGTAACGCCACTAATGGACGAGCGACAAGATTGAAATATGTTATTGGAAAGCTTGTTTCTTCTTCTCAAACTGCTTTTTTAGAAGGTAGGCAGATGTTGGATGGTGTGTTGGTGCTTAATGAGGTTATCGACTTTGTTAAGAGGATGAGAAAGAAGTGTTTAGTGGTTAAAGTCAATTTTGAGAAGGAGTATGATTGTGTCTCTTGGGTTTTCCTCCATTATATCCTTTCGAGAATGGATTTTGGTCGTTGATGGGGTTGTCTTGGATGTAGGCTATGATGTTTTCTAGCTCTATATCTATTTTGGTGAATGGAAGTTCTACGAAGGATTTTTTGGCAACCAGAGACCTAAGACAAGGGGATCTTCTTTCTCCTTTTCTTTTTCTTTTGGTTGCGGAGGGTTTAGCGGAGATGATGAGTAATGTCGTTAATGAGGGCAGTTTTAAAGGGTTCTACTTCAATGATTAGATTCACTTTGAATTGTTCCAATTTGCAGATGATATGATGCTTATTGGCCAAATTTATGGTGTATTAATGCTTTGTTACAGGGGGCTTGAGCTTGTTTCAGGGCTGCACATTAATTTGCATAAAAGTAAGCCTTTTGGAATTCATTTGGATGACTTGATGTTGGAGGCGGCGTCTTCTTTCTTAGCTTGTGAGATAGGGCATCTTCCTTTCATGTTTCTTGGTATTCCGCTTAAGGCTAATCATAGGTGCAAGGAGACTTAGTCCTTTGTTCTTTCCAAGATAAAAAAAAAGACTAGCTTGTTGGATTGGTAGACATTTATCTTTGGGTGGTAAGATTTCTCTTCTTCATTCAGTTCTTTGTTATCCTTTTTCAAAGCTCTGAAAGGTATTGTTGATGATATTATTAAGATTCAAAGAGATTTTTTGTGGGGTTATAATAATCGGAACGCGAAAGTGTGTTGGGTGAGTTGGGATAGGATTTTTTGTCCCAAGGAGGAAGGTGATTTAATGGTGAAGAATTTGGAGTTTTTTAACTTTACTTTGATGAGTAAGTGGGGGTTAAGACTTTTAACGGAGAAAAACCATGTTTGGTCAAATCTGTTGCTCTTTAGGTATGGTCCAATCTAACTTGTTTGGTGTTGTTCCTCCTCGGGTATTGAAGTCCTACTCGCTCTGGTGGAGGGATGTGAGGGACGTTTGTAATCCAAAAATTGATGATCATTTATGGTTTCTTAATAGTCTTTCGATTAAATTGGGAAATGGCGAGACCAATGATTTTTGAGAGCATAGTTGGTTGGGGTTAGAGCCTTTTAAGGTTCTTTTTATGCTTTTATTTGAGACTTGTTCTTCTTCTTCAACGACAATGGTGGATATGGGCTATTGGGAGGATTCTTGTTGGTTTTGGGACTTAAGAATTTATGGGGATATTCTTGTGGGGGAGAGTATGTCTGAATGGCTTTCATTAACATCCCTTTTGAGGGAGGTTAATCCTTTGATTAATGTGTCGAATAAGGTGATGTGGTGGAGGAATGATGATGGTTTTTCAGTGAAAAATAGCTACCGTCGAATTTGTGCTTTGAAGTCTAATTCTTTGGCTTTAGAGGAGGATAATTTAAGTGTTTTAAGTGTGTTTGGCAATCTAAGATTTCGTCTAAAAAGTGAAGTTGTTTGGTTTGAGGTTTATTCTTATAGTTTTCATTCTAAAAGCGAACTATGCAAGCGTGGCATGGTTCATTGGTTGAATAATAATTTATGCATGTTGTGTGAGTTGATGGAGGAGTCGATTGATCATTTTTTCTTTTGATGTTGCAAGTACATAGTGATTTTGAGGAAGGTTTTGAAGTGGTTGACCGGGGGTGAGGGAGTTGGGATTTTAGTGGAAGTGGTGGTGTTGGGTGGGTCAGTTCCTCTTTTGTCATCTAGAATCAAGTTAAGGTTATGTAAGTTTGTTAAGCTTTCATTTTTTATTCCTTTTGGCTTCTTGTGTGTTTGTGTATTTAGTTGGATATGAATAATGTTATCGTTAACAACAAGCTTTAGATTTGTAATGATTCTTTGTTGTTTATTAAACTCTTGGGTTGGGATTGGTTTTCCATTCTTTCTATAAGTACTAGTGATTTGGGAAAGAATGTTTGGTTATCAAATCCTAGGATTTATGTTGGTCAGGTGTTGATTGGTTTTATTGTTTTTGTTGGGGTTGGTTTATTTCTCTCTTGTTCCTTGTATTGGGTTAACACCCCTTGTGCTATTTAAGATATTTTTCTTATAAAAAAATACATAATCACAACCTAGGAAAATTTCATGTTGGAGATAGAGTCAACAAAACATATAGAGAAATATAAGACGTTAACATAAGCATGTGGTGCCACATATCTCAAAGTAAGAGAAACATTCACATATTCACGTAAATAGTTCAACGAGACATAATTTATGTAGATAATTACTTTATGGCTCCTAGGATAGTATATTTTAAAAATACCACAAATTGTAAATTATTATTATACATGTTTAATCACCAATTTATTCCACACATTTTGTCTTCTTTACTTAACTTTATTTTGATGCATTTCTTTATTTAGAAGGTCAACGTTCCCACGCATCATATTTAATGATCTATGAAGTGGCTAAGAAACCCTTAATCAAGGTACAAAGTTTCTTTCTTAGCGCAATCACTTGAAGTTAAGATAATCATTATTAACGGCTAATAGCCGATCATCGACTAACTTTCACACTTTAACAACTAGTTTGGCATGTCTGGGCAACAATTATGACCGATATCGCATAAGAATTCTATTCACCAATCAAGAGTAAGTTTGGTATGCATTAGTTTTTTAGATAGAAGCTTAGTAATATGGATTAAACATAACCATCATCAACGAAGAGAACACGTTAACAACAACCCAATGGAGTTTAACAAATAATCAGAATCTCGATAATTTTGGATATTCCCACTACTTATGGATGTATGTCGATTGATATATATGAGAAGTTAGTTATAAAGACAAAATCTTTTGTTAGACAATGATTGGACATGCAAATATATGTTATCTTATATCAATTTGTCAACATATTGTTGACATGATAAGAACTATCAAACATATTGAGGTTCAACAAGTTTGAGAATTGTACATCAAACGAGTTAATTCACGCACAAAGTTCAAGGGATCAAGGCCAGAAAGATATTAGATCGAAAATTCAACTGAGAGCCAACAAGAGATAAATAAATAGCGAGTGTCATAAACACATATAATCTTCAATACAAAGATGATATACATTTAGGACTCTCGTTTCATCTTCAGAGATCCAAAACATTTTCTTTCACTTCTTCTTCAGAGATCTAGTTTTGTTGAGAGATTGTTTTTTAATGTAAGTTATTATTTTTGAGTTGTTGATGTTATTGTTGTTGTTGTTTAGATTTTCTATTATATGTCATATTTTTGTTGTTGTTATTGAGTTTAAGTATTAAAAATGATGTTTTTTGTGCATATCTCATTGTGTTCCGTCTAGTTGAGTTTATTATATCTAATGTCTATTGTGTGTTTCACCAACCCCTGGTTGAACATATAACCTATTAAATTGATTATGGAAATAATCATATGAAAAATCATGTTGTATTTGAAATACATCTTACACTCATTAATATTTTTCTAGCATACTCGTCATTATGTCATGCTTTTTTATTGTTAAAATCTCTTCAAACTTCTTGTTTACATTCAAATATCTTCAATAAAGAACTTGAAACATTGAAGATATTTTTTAACCATAAAAGAGCGTGGTGAATGATGAGTTAGGGGATGCTATAAAATCATTGATTAGTGTAAATTGTTATTCATATATAACATAATTGTTCATATAATTATTTTCCTAACAAATTTTGAGAAGTTATATATTCAGTTAGGGTGAAATAAACAATCTACATTAGATATAATAAACTCAATCTTAATAAACCCTCTGGTTAAAATCCAAATTGAGGAGAATATTGGTAAATTAATTGATATATTCCTTCAATTATAAAACTAACCGAGGGGTATATCTCTATAGTATTTTACTTTTTAATAAAAAAATAAATAACATTTCCCATCAGTATTAGTCAGAAACCAATGGTTATACATTGACCATTTGATTTATAAAGTAACCTAGAACACATATATGCCATATATTTATAAAATAATAACATTTAAAATATTGTCAACACATCAATCCACAAGAAAACCTCTACACTAATAATAACGAAAATACCACCACTCTATATATTGGAATCTTTCTTGTGAAACCCTCTACATCCAATAAGCACGTGAGCACCACTATAACTTACCATT